GCCATTTTGTTTGTGTTGTCCAGCTCGGATCAAATGGTTCGCTGGTGCTTGGCCTGCCATTTACTGTCTAACACTCGCTTAGTTTCGCAGCCACGGTGCGAGAATTAATGAGACATTATCATTTTCTTCACTGCTGAAAGCGTTTTTCGATCACAAGTTATTTTACCATCAAAAATAGATACAGGTAATTTGGCGGAAGACAGTTTGCATTTCTGTGGTGAGGCCATTATAAAAGGAAAGCTTTATTCTGCGAGACAGCATTTGTGAACATCTGCAAACGCGACGTGTGACGATCGTATGACTGAGTCTATATGTGATGGCTCAGTGATCGTATCATTTAACTACCTTGCTACTCCCTTGTGAAATAGGATCAACCTGCCTGCATCCCAGTTTAGTAGTTGCTAGCATCCCAATGAAATCCCATGGGAGAAATTTCAACAAAGTTTAAATACGCCAAGCGGTATATCAGTCGATTTTCGTGTAAGGTGTATTTAACTTTAACAACAGTGTCTACAACATAAACGCATCTATTATCAATGTATAATTAGTTCAAAGGCTGGGGCAACCAACTCGGTGCCAAAAGTTGACTAGCCGGGTGTAAACTACGAAGTCGACTGAATGCGATGTGTGATGCGTGTTCACCGAATTTAATTAAACATATGGTAGTGAATGCAAATGATATTTACAAACTAAGCAACAAGGGTACAAATACACACTTGAATATTTTAAATCTCCATGACAAACAACGAGCAGCTTTCAGATATAACGATCGTTCGTTAAGGACATGGGCGGAAACGTAAAGTACGAATGATGGTATAAAACTGAGCTTAGTAACAGAACGACGAAAACCATGCTTGTAGGCTATACAAATGTTCTTGATTGGATACCTTGTAAAGTCGTCAAGCATACATATCAATTCGAAAGCGTGACAACAGCGTGGATTGAAGTACGCAGCAAAATGATAAATTTGCCGACTAAAGCAGCAGAAAAAGGTGCAGGTCCTGTTACTTGGGCGAAGTAAAGTATACGGTACAGAAGGTCGATTTGTGTTAAGAGATGAAGTGAAATGGTTCATACCTTACTCGAATAAACGAATCAGTTGCCTCGTCTTGGCTTTCTGTGCCCGCACAGTTACTCCGACCTTCATGCTAATTAATCGACTTTGCAGAACTCCGTCCTCAACGCTGCCTAACTGAGTTCTCTTTCAAAACTGTCCAACACTTATGACGGTCTATACGGACGGTTCATTCCTTTGGGATTTTGGATTTCTTTGTATTTATGTCCCTCTCTCTCCAGCCACCGCACGTTTGCTGTCCTTATTGGTCCGTTTATTGCGCCCTTTCATTTTATTGGTCACTCAAATCAAGTCGACTCAAGAATGAGCTTTTATACGCCTATGGCAGGTGAAATTTTCAGCCTTAACACATTTGCTATCTATATAATTAAAAATGGCATCATAAGCGGTTTGGTCTGCGTACTGGTTACAGAAGAGTAGAAGGGGAGTTGAATGGTATAGGTAGAAATTCGTCGCATCTAGACTCACTCAGACAGATGTCACAAGCCCGGAAAAGCACTGTACGCGCGTTTCATCCTTTCGGGAATCGTCAGCAGTGCGCATTCCATCTAGTAACTTATTCACAATGGTCGTTACCGTCCTCCGTAGATAAGTGGTCACAACCACGGACTGGCAACAGTCGAGCTGCGGGTTCGAGCCCCAGCAGGGGCCGATGGAATGCGCAATGCTGGCGATTCCCGAAAGGATAAAACGCGCGTAAAGTGCTTTCCCGGGCGTGTGACAGCTGTCTGAATTAGTCTAGACGTGACGAATTTCTACCTATACCATTCAACTCCCCCTACTACTCTTCTGTAATACTTATTAAAGTTAATCAAAAGCGATAGAATAACGACAAGAGGGGAAGCTAGATGAAAGACAACTTTACTTGCAAAAGGCGTCGCTCAATTCTTTCATAATAGCATTTTGGTCAAACAGAAATTCGGCTGGGTAGGGAATGACCGATAAACCGCAGGCACCCGTGTGTGCATATATTGCTCCGTACTTTTGTCTGGTTGATGAGGTTGAGATACAGTTAGAGAGGCGCTAAGCAGTGGGTGTTTAATGCCGTTGAGTCTATTAGAAGCGTAAACACCGTTGTTTGAGTTTAAATTTGAATTTGGAATGTCACTGCAGCGAGACAAATGCTTCAGCGACCTGTCAAGCAGCTTGAGATGCTTACCCAGCAGGCATTGAGAAGTCACAGGACAGCAGTAAGTCCACTGTGGTGGCATTCACGCAGTGATAAACTTCAGACTCAATTTGTGGGGTTGCAATCGAGCGACGTAGAATGAGTCACTTGACTTTAGTAAATATTTCATTCAGGTGAGGTGACCACGACAACTAGTGTCTCAGTGTAACTCCGAGATACTTTACTAATGTACAGAAGCTCAAACTGCCACTTTCGGCCTGAAGTTTGGAACATTCCGCGACACATTCCTGGTAATGGGCTGCTTTTCAAAGTAAAAACAAAGTGTTCATTATACTTGAATGCGTTCAAGAATATGAAGTGGGAGTTCCACCATTGTAGTAATGCATTCAAATGGCTTTGCAGCTTGGTTGAGGAGTCCGAAGTTAAGTGATTCACACAAGCATAGTTTAGCAAAATGGTTTCTTCTGTGACAGATGTAGAGAGAATGTAAGTGCAAAAAGTTTGGTGATAAAATAGATCTTTGAAGGACAACAGAATTGGTGGTAGGTGGCGAGGCGTTTCTGCCATAAGTGCTCTGAGTGCGTTTAGCGAAACAATCCTTTAGCAAGAGCACTAGAAAAGGCATCAATTTACGTTTAACACGACCTAAACCGTTGTGTGGATAAGGAATCATTCACGTGTAGATTTGTTCTTATCATTAGCGACGGAAACCATGAATAGTCAAGTCACAGCGACTTGTATGGATCGTAAACTTTTATAGACAAAATTAAATTGGCCGTAGGAACGGAACTGGGCCAGCATCTTTACAAAAATGACTATCTCAAAAACCTTCAAACCCACTGAGGTTGATGCCATAAGCGGATAAATATCCGTCCTTTCTTCGGTAGTAGCTTTATGGTAACAATCCTCTAAAGACCCACGACTTTTCCCTGCTTAAGTCATTCTTTGAACAATTCAGCCAGACGCTGGGCTAAGAAATTAGCCCAATGCTTGTAGACGACAGGAGACAACCTGGGTTTACTTCCTGTGCAATGATACAACATCGACAAAAAGTAGGTACTCCACAAACCATTGAAACGGTGCAGATGATGATTAGGAGCATGAGTCACCGTTGGTGTAGCAGAAGTTACGATTTAATTCTTCTACGTCCACGTCAGGATCTGTACCGTTCACAATTAGCCAAATTTTACTACGTTTTTTTTCTACTACTGTCTGATCCTAGACATGATTGAGGTGCTGCAATTCTTCACTAACAAACACAGAAAGGCATTTCTCTAAATTACGATCTTTGTTTTTGAAAGTTCTCTCCATGTACCTACCAAGCTGTCTGTGGAGCGGTGAAAAAATTAATCAACACAGGTGAAAGTTGCTTCTGTCAGACAATAGAGATCCAGAGTAAAGTTCAACTTACTTGTTACCTATTTGCATTATATTGATAAATCTGTGTCGAAAAACTGACGGAATCTGTGGAAAGAAACGAATTCACACAATCGTACTGTGTTTTAAGAGAAAGATTCTTTTCATTTTCCTATACGACCACCTCGGCGAGTGACCTCCTTGGGGTTCGTCTTGCTGCAGACAAGAGGGGGTAGCTTGCTTATGGAATGATTAGAGCTTCCATGTGGTGCATGATTACAGACGGAATGTAGCTTCACATTATTGTCTAATACTAAATCCATGTGTATGTCAGTAATGTCCTAAAAGAGAAAATATGTACAGTGCAACCCAATTTGACGACCTCGAGAGCTTAGGTTTCTGTATGGCTTAGCTTGCTCGAACTTACTGCTCGCTCATTTGGTTTTATCGTCTTAACTAGGTGATCAATTTTAGCCACCGCATATCATTCTCCCAGCTGTCACTGTACTTCATGTAATAGGATGCTGTGTGGGATCTCGGGACCGTCACTTTTGATTGCTATCAGATTTGGCTGGATTTTTTCTAGCAATTCTTCTACCCCTTCCTTGTAAAGACATTTAAGGTTTCTTTGTCGTTTGCTACATTAAAACCACCAGCTCGGACTTTGGAAGCATTGCGGTGAGCGTCAACCAATTCCGGGTCTGTACATTCGTTTCCGGTGGGTTTGCATTCCGGTGCTACCTTACGCCACGCTCAACTGTCCCAAGCGTTTTGTCGCTTAAAGTACGGGCTTAGTGTAATGCGATGGCTTGCGAGCACGCAGAGTAGGAAGCATTACTATTCTACATCCTCTGCTGATGGTGTAGCATATCGCTAGTCGAGCCACTAAGTATTTGGTATCCGTCCAAACGGTTGTGCCATGGTATCACTTGCATGCGCTATGTAATATCACAGACTTGCAGGCAGTTCATAAAAGCTCCTTCATTGTTATGCGATGACCCTGTCAATTTGTGATTTCTTGTCGTCCACGTACATGCAAATGACAAGAAAGCCGAAATAAAATCACATCAGATCGATCGATGGTCAAATGTTATTACGATTATCGCATTACTCGATACCACGGCATGCTTAGTGTCACAGTCCACTAACTTTGACACCATGCTTGCCGTGATAGCGGGTAGTTAGCCAATCGTAAAACGGTTAGTCATCAGTCGATTAATCTTAATCTTATTTTATTTTCTTTGTTATACGCATGTACTTTGCCAAAGGGAATGCCGAAAATGACATTCATTCCATATCATTCGTCTCTTGCTATTCTTCTTTAGAATTATATAGGGAATCAGATGTTTCAAATTTCTTCCTTACTTAGCATGAGCCTGTTAATGAATGTCGATAGACTCTACACAAATGTCATTTCCTGCTTGTTAATTGTACCTACAGAGTGGGAATGCTAAACACAGATTCTACGGTGGAAATCGGTCTGAGTGGAGAGTTCATCCTGAAGGAACATTGTGTGTTTTACAACTCACAAGGTAAGTTTCCTTTCATTTATGCGAGGGAATGTGTGCGTCAGGGTGGTTGCATCCAAGCAACATCACCTAGTCTAGTAAGATACACTGTCATCTGGTAAGTACGGCTAGAGACGGTCATGAAGGGAAGGCAGCTGAGTTACTGAAACTACCTTTAATATGCCTATTAGTAGGGTGAAATAAGAAACAGTACGGGACTTTTTCCCAATCTTCAAATTATGTAATTAACACAACAAGAAGAGAAAGAACCCTGTATGATACACTTAGCACAAGGTATAAAACTTGTGGTTAGCTTGTGTACACAAGTGTCCTTCGAAGAATAGTTTAATGTTGTTTGAATATCAACCCTAAATTAGCCAACACATGCAAGGACTGCTTTATTCGGTTTACCGTTATTCGAGTTTCGCATGTGGAAGTAAACTGTCAAATGTGTACACAATACTTAAGGTTACTGGTCAAAGGATTTCAGCAATTGTCAGTGTATACTATTCTAAAACAACTGCCAAGTAAGTTAAACGTATTCCGTTTACTGAACTTATTAATTGTAGCAGTTGTTTATGTTTAAAAATACCCTCTAACAAGTGGGTTAAAGATTAGAAAATAACCGAAACGAACGTTGCCCATATCCCAGTAAATAAAGTATAGATTGTATATCGCATTCCATTTGTAAATTCCAGCGTTGTTAGTTTCGAATGCTGGTATTCGTTAAAGAATCCGGATTCCAGCTATACACACCTTTGTGCAACATGAACTTTCCTCGATTAGTATAAGCAGTATCCAATGTTTAATATTACTATTATCACTGTTCACAGGAGTTGTTCAGTTTAAACCCTGCGAAAACGCCGAATGCTATATAAACGGATCTTTGGTAACCAAACAATTGGAACTTTCCTCTGGTGCACGGGTGATTCTGGGAAAAAGTCATGTGTTTCGGTTTAACAATCCAGCCAGAGGTGAGATCGTTTTTCGGAAACATTACATACATACTTCTTATTTCCTTTCGCTGTTCGTGTTTTGACCACTGTGTAACATTAAAAATCGTTGGGTTACTAGCGACATCGGTTATAAAAATGAATTGTAGGACGTATCCTAATTACAATGTAAATCATTAATACATAGCTTAATATTACCACATTATATCATAACTGACTTGAAAAGCATAAGTACCTCATTATCTATCCCAGCCTTTGTAGGTGACACTAATTGCCAGATCCGTGTGAACAGTGAAGTTCGGTTTTGTTACGGCAATGTGTATTCTATAACGGGTTCCCTAAGCCAAGGCTACGAGGAACTGACAAGTTATAAATAAATAAATACATTTGTACATTTACCGACAGACGGTACACGGCCCCATAAGTGAGAGCGATCATTTGTATAGTGAATACATTTCATAATATTAAAGAAAATTTTGTTAATAGAATTTCGGATCATGATTTTTTTTGCCTTGGGTGCTAGATCCGTGCACCTCATATGGAAAATGTACGGACGTTTGTATCATCAGGAGTAGATAATAAAGGGAGAGACTACTCGGCTGCAAAAACTCGGGATTTGCTATGGTATGTAATGACATGTAGTGGGTAAGCTAGCTGTAAGCGAATATCTTCTCCTATGCTTTTTATACCAGCTTCTGTCAATGTTCCTAGTTTGCTGTGAGCCAAATATCTTCAAAGCATTTGGTATAGTGTAGAAGGTCTGAAGGAGATTCCGAAACGTGACATGGCTTGTACACATGCGTATCTGTAAGGGTAGTTTGTTCCACAGATCAGTGTATCTCACTAAGAAGAAATTCGACCGAGTTTTATGACTTGAAAGGTTTGTACGTATAAAGTAGCCACCATTATGTATTGGGTAGAATGCAGTCTTCCATAGTTCAAGTGCGGTGCTGTCTGCGTAAATTCGTTGGTTTATAATATTGTAGAAGAGAACGAGATTGTTCTTTAAGCGCCTCAGCCAAAGTGGATCCAGTTGGAGTTTTCGACTGCGATCATAATACGTCAGGTTTGAACAGCGTCCCATGAGCAGCTTGGTTAATGATCGTTGGACATTTTCCAGAGCCGCTCTCTTTCTCAATTGGCTGTGGACGATAGTACAATATTCCAGAGTCGGTCGTACTATTGTCTTGAATGACTCAAGTCGTGCTTCAGGTAGGGAAAATGTTCTGGTGATATATTCGCATAACTGCCTTGCTTTCATAACCTGATAAAGAACATGTTCGGAGAAACTGAAAGAGTTGGAGTAACTAATTCTTAAGTCCCGAACTGAATCAGATGTTGGGATACGTTTCCGGTAAGGATGATGGAGCCTTCTGGAATGCGGCATTTGTACCCAAGTACTTAGGATTTCACTGCGGAGAACATCGTTAATAAAAGCTCACTAGCTATATTTAGTGTGGATAGGTCTTCACAGATGTTCCCCAAACATATATGTACTTGGTCTGGTTGAAGTGAGTAAACCAGTTTGACATCATCTGCAAACAGAAATGGGTGTCCATGTTTGATCGGGTCACATATATTGTCTACGTAGTTTAAGAAAAGTAGTGGTCTGATCAAACTTCCCAGGAAGACACCGCTGGTTATTGCTTTCGGTGTAGTTGTGAGCGCTGCTGCCAACTGGGAACCACGTCTTCTACTGAACAGTTATTTACATAAAATTCAAGAGTTGCTTTTATTCGCCTCTCAGTGTGAGCAAACTAGATCAGTCAAGAAGCTTGATGAGTATGAGATTTATGCCAGATAACAAAAAGAGTTTATGCTACATGACAACATACTTATGATTGTTACTGTAGCTTATTGGTAGGAGAGTTCAGATTAGTTAACTATGACATTTCTGGCTTGCTATGACATTCCATCATTTTAGCTGCTCGTCCAAACTTGTCGGTTCGTAACGATTAATTTTTCATTCATTGATGGAGTCGTTTAATGATCTTAATGAAAATACGCTGACACAAGTCCTTTTAACCCAAATAACAACACGTGAAACATGAATAATCTAATGCTCAAAGGGTCAGGCGATTAAGACTTCGCTACCGTTTCCACTCTTGGCGTTTGGCTGATCTAGTAGACCAAACTTAAGTGTGACGTTTTCTTATTTATGGTTCCGTTTGATGAAGGTTTCTTCCAATGATAGAGTGGGTTACAGCCTCGATCAACCAACAATATCATCACGAGTTTTGGGCAATGGTTTATACTGAATACGTTTTGTTGCTGAATCAGGTTTGACTGTCTACGAGAGTACTCGATTCATTGTAAAGTTAACCCATTGTATTGTAGGGCCATTCAAGTTAGGTAGGCCTTCCAACAAGATGACGTGGTAAGTAACTGCTAAAGGAACTTAGTACATTAACAAAAAGTGATGAGACATAATTAAAATTCAAAAACTGGGAGCAGGTCCTGTGCGTGTCTCCTTCATCAGGGCGCAATGCAAGTCAAATGGGTTAACAAATGTAAGCTAGTTCTGATGTAAGTAATTGCAAGATTTTCGAAAAGCGTCCTATTGATTTGGCCAGGGGATTATAGGAAAAGCACCGGAAGTCTGTTTCATGCTCTCAAAACTGGTCTATAGTGTTCCTCCGCCCGCTCTATTAGGATACAAACCCACCACGTGCCTGTGACACTAACCAGCAACCTAGAGCAGCAAACCAAGGTGAACAGCTGCTGACTGCTGTGATGGTAGAGGACAAGTCTCGCCAGCGAAACTAATGCGTAACAAATTGCAATGAAGCCAAGTGGCATCGTCAGTGCAAGCTGACCATGCTTACAAGGGCCAGATGAACAGTAACTACTTGGTTTACAATGTTGCACGACAAGCGCGATTTTAGTACTGGACAAAAGCCAGCGACTTGCCAGCGTGCGACACTGAGGATGAGCAGGCAATGTATAGTAGGACAGCCGTTGATCAACCGAGAGGGCGAAGCATACAGAGCTGGTGGGTAGAAAATCAACTGACGCAGGCGGAGCAAGTTGACTACATTTGCTCAACTTAATAAGCAGACGAGTATTGGGTTTGAGTCATGTGAACTGAACGAGAAATTGTGCCAAGCAGGATATGAATGGTCCAAGCGGCTTCGAACCTATGATGAGCACAAGCCAATGTACTCAGGTAGCAAGAATCAGCGATTGAAAGTGTGCTTGGGGTAAGATAGTGTTTCAAGTTTATGCGCAGCCTCAACTGACCATTCGTTCCTTAGTAACATCTTTTTGGATCACTGTCCAGTCTTCGTTTTGATTTGAGGATGGCTAACTGGATAACCGTCAGGATCTACCAGGTTATTGGGATACAACATGTTTATCCTTCACTACCCCTGTAGTTGCTAATGGTGCTGCGGAGAGGGTTGACCCTGAAAGACAAGAATTCCTCTAACATTCACTAGGTACGACATTGCATTTTGTGGCTGTTGACATAAATTTTCCGAACTAGTCATGGGTAGGGGAATTTCTGATGTATCTATCGTGTAGTAACTTTCATTTAAGTGGAGGACTATCTGACTTACAAACAGCTACTAAGTACCCGAAATGATTCATTTACGGTCTTTGGTAAGTGAAAACGGAAAACTTAACCCATATCTCTCTTGTGAACTATTGATAAATCCTGTATATGGTTAGTTACGATCCTGTTCATAGTAAAACACTGATCGCAACATTTGTTAAGTAATGCTTCACTAGATCCACTATCACACAGATAGTTACATCAGCATTTCCAGAAGGTGGCCAAACTGCAATCAGCAATAACTGTGTTCTATTGATTTTTACCACTTGTGGGAAGGAACGTATAAGTACATCCAGTGACAAAGAATAGTTGAGATGTTTTCGAGGGTTGAATAGTTGACAGCTTCTCGTTTTACGCTTATTCGTAAGCCGTTGAACCGTTATATACACAACGTTGCGGTCAACTCAGTGTTACCCTAGTTGACCACACATGGAGCGCGACAGTCTGTGTTATTCGGTTTGACCTTCGCAAAGTGTCACATTAGTACACGTATTTGCTGTTGTCTGATCATTTATCACTTGCACACGTGGTGCTTATCACTTCGGCTAGCTTGATAAACTGACCTGCTCCGGTTAACACTTGCATATTCTCTCCCAAGTAAGCGTATGACGTATCCCCAAATTATACGGTCCTTATGTAATCTTTTCCTTATCAATGTAAACAGAATCTGGTGAACTGATATGGATTAGGGCATTTTGCCAGTAGTTATGATCTATCCACAATGAACAATGTACAATGATTTAGCGCAAATAAAAAAACCTGCGGATCGGCAAATACACTAGGACGGTTGGGATGAAATCTACGAAATCAAAAGTTGTGGAAGGCATCAGTTTGAACATCCACCGACGGAAATGCGTTGCTGAATACGAATCGTGTAACAGGAGGATTGAATGCAAGCACACAAAACAACATGTGATACTAAATGCGTAAGTGTTAGAGATAATCCAAGACGTCTCGGTTTAGGTTGCGAAGTGCTGGGAGCTAATGGCAACAAGCAACGATATCTTTAAGATATTCACGGTAGGAGATGACAATTGAGTTCGCAATAGTGTTCAATGTTGGCAAAACCGAACAGAAAAGTAATTTTATCAATACTCTATAGAAGGCTGCAATTGTCACCAAACTTTAAGGTTGGTGATGCGGATGAAACTCAGCATTTGTCAGTATACGTGATTGACGTCAGTCAGAATTTGCTACATTCTTTTAGTATCTCTACTTAGCTGTCGATACCAGTTGTTGAAAATTCTATCAACTCGAACCTCTCCTGGTAGGAGAGATTTCTCAAACCTCTAACTATTTGTGGCCTTGCGTTATGGTGCCTCTAGCATTTTGAGGTCTCGCTTCAACTAATGTTGCCAAGCTTGGACGACGTATTCAATGTGAGCCAGCACCTGAGACTTGTACATTATTGGGAAGTTTAATGGGTCCAATCTCGCGAATGTGCTTCTCAGTAGACCGACATGCTGGTCGTCTCTTTTCGCAGCTGACTCAGATTGTTTTGAAAAAATGAGGTCACCCTGTACGAGCACACCCATGCAACTTTTCTGAAACCTGGTCTGTAAGCGGTGTGTCCCATGCAAATACACGTAGTTATACGTATGGCGCAGCTGAAAAATGACGTTCTCCCTAACATTAGACTTGACGGGAATGTACCACCTTTTCAGGGAGATAGAAGTACCAGTTCACCTGACCATAGCTTTTCAACCTAGAGCATTTATTTCTCAATCAAATAATGTAAGATTCACTAGTAAAAGTTGCTTCCGTCTCAGATGTACAAAAATGAAAGCGCTTTAATCTTTAGTTTCATCATAAGCATGCATGTTCTGTTAATGTATGCTGGCGAGTCAATAAAATCCAGCTCATCGTATCAGACATCTTTTGTCATCATGCCGAGAATGTGAATGAAGCCTTCGTATTTTAGCGCGAGAAAAGAAATCCAATCAGCTGGAAATGTCATGTAAGTCATGAAATACTTCTTAATGATTTTGATGTAGGCCTTGTATTGGGCCAGTTTACCCACAGTGTGTTTGAAGTACAACGTAAACCCGCTACTTGCTTGGAAGTGAGCCAGTTAACCTTACTAACATTAAAATTACCAGCTCACATCGGTGAGCCAATGGGAGTTGGCCCAACTTTGTATATATCGCAAGTATGTAGCTTTGCCATCTTTAGCTTAGTACAACAAAGATAACACTAATCATGATATAGCTCGGTTTTATCTCATCCTACAGCCAGTATGACTGAATCGATAGACTGGACTTATGCAATATGTGAACTGTTGGATAAACAAGGTGTGGACCTACGCAAAGAGATGGAGGATCGCTTGTTGGCGATGGAAGAACAGTTTCGGCGCGAACGAGAGGAGTCAGATCGTCTGTTTCAAGAACAACGGAGAGTGAGTTTATGAATGTGGAAACACAGCCGTAGTTCATATCGAGATATGTTGCGACTGGTCAGAATGTTAGCAGTTAAACTGCAGTCAAACTAGAGCTATTTAAAATGGTTGGGGTTTATTTTTGAATGTGACGATAAAAAAAGTATGTGTTTAATCAATTCCACATCAGCGAATGTGTTCCAAAGTGCTGTAAGATTAATTGCACATATAGTGACAAGCACTGAAAATGGTCTAATACCGCAGGCACAATGTTGGCATATCTTCACTTTCGTTTTGTCGGAGTTCACGTGCATTTCACGAATCTCTTGTTGATCAGAGAAACTGTGGTTTTAATAGCACGCCATGGGTAACTCAACTACTGAAATCAGTATAGTGTAATGATCCAAGGCATTTTCTATCGTTTGCAGTTAAACTCAACAGTAATAATTGTTTGTGGCTGTTCTCAGTTCAGCAATTCCGTCAATCCATTTATCCAAGAAAAAAGTTTTTGGTTTAGCAGAGCTGCCCCACTGGATCTATAAAGAAACGACCTTTTAGTTAGTTTAAAGATTTTAGAAACTTTAGGTTGGGAACAACTAATCATTTGCTCCGTCTGAAATACCCAGCACAATCATAGCAGAGCATAAACAACTTAAAAGACATCTAGTATCAATTTCGGTGATACAGGGCTTCAGTGCGGACTCGGATGTAGCATCAGCGCCAGTAATTGACACTCCGCTGAAAACAAATAGTGAACTACAAAGCATATATATATGTATATATAGTACATACAAAGGTATAGTAAATGGCGCAATATCACTTAACCTCAACCAGCGAGACTAAGAATGTTAGTATTTGAAAGTAGACACTTAGGCACAGCAGCGTCTCTCTTGGTAATTGCATGTGTGATTTAGACATACGTCTGACTGACATAAAAAATAGCAGTTTAAAAAGTCGCTTTTTGTTCAGGATTTATCATGCCATCAATTGGTGAAACCTGGTCCTTAATATTATACACCAGACGAGTGCTGCAAAGATATCGGAAAACGGCGGTGCCTGAAATCTTATATTGTAATGGAAGTTTCGCTGACGGTATCCTGTTCATTATTTTCACCTTAAAGATGGCTTGTTAAAGAAATCTATCTAAAGAGGAGTATTGGGATTTGTCCCACGTTGCACTAACATATATGAGAACATTATGACAATGACTGTAGTGCATTAAAATTTTATGGTTACTGTTGAACATTGTGAAGCTTAGCATTGCGTGACAGTGGTGATCAAAAGATTTATCGTATTGTACCTTTTGGTGTTGCACGCAATTTTCCATTATATAGATCATTTTAACTTGCGTTAAGCGCATTTACAGACGGTAGTTAAAGGTGGCCTGACTCATGGACTTGTTAGCATAGACTCGAGCGTTCTAACCGCGCAGGAAACGGATGAGTAATAAGGACGGTTATCGGGGGGATAAAACTATCGTGGATTAGTTTTCCAGTTTTACGGTGACCGAATAATTGATTATCTCTTTGACGATTCCCCTAAGAAAATTACCAAACTTCTACCTTTTTGTATTATCTGCAACTCAGTAAGTACCTAACAAAGGGTTAGAATGCTGTCAAACGGCTATGGATCAGCAATTAACTTTCGAATCACTGGAGAGTCCAACCATGTCTACTACCCGTCGAAGACATACGAAACACGGGAGTGTGAGAATGCCCGGGAAAAAACAGCAGTTTAATTAATCACTGTGGCTTTCGCTTATTGTCCGTGGTCCAGTAGTATCAACTAGGTGCTGGCTATAGTCGGGTTGCCGGTGGCAGCTCTACAAGTGTCAGATGGGATGCGCAATGCTGCGTTTCCAGAGAGGTTGAAACGGTCGTACGGTGTTTTACCGGATTTGCAGTGGCGTTCTACTTGATTTTGGCTGTGGCAGACCTATAACTGATTGTTAAACACATGGTCTATGCGGCCACGTTTATATTTGTGTAATTTCCTCTCTCTCAACTTGTATCTTTGTATACCGTAGCGTTAGTGATATTATTATTATCGTCACCTGCCAAGTGTAGGAACGAATGTAAATGGTAAATTAGTAGTAACTCTATTCGAAGTAACAAATCCTTAGACTTCTAACTCTTAGCTCCCTTATTTGAAACATCTCGATGCGTTAAAAAATTTACAGTGCGTATAACCTAGAATTATTGTGTGGTACAATGGCTATGCGTCAGACTAGTTTTTCATCACCTGTGGTAGTCATTACACAGCAGCTTGGAGTTGGTTCAAGTGTGTATTTGTAATTGATGGTAATTCAACTAGGTATTAGCTGTGAATTTAGGTGTTACTTGTTAGACCACCTTCAATTCACAGAACGCCATAGGAGGAAATATATTGTATTTTGAGTTCGTGTTCGTTCTTATCAGGCAGCACAATCGATAGCAGTGATAGGTATCTCTGATTTATGATTTCTCTTACCGAATTTGACGCAATATGCATGTTGCCAAAAAATACTTTGCTTAGCTTAGCCATTTTAACGTTATTATTGTGTAGATGGTAGACATAAGAATTAATTTAAAGCCGCAATTAAGAGAAGTGAAAACAGGTCAACATGCAAGACAAAATGGTTCGAACGAGCAAGCTGTACTACTTACAGTCATGCAACGGCCGATTATCAATTAAAATGACAGCATCGTGCTTTATTAATGTGTTCACAAAAAGCAGGTTTGGATTGGACGGAGTCGGGTGTGGACTACATTAGAAAATAGCGTAGGAAATCCTATGCTTCGAAAATAAGCTTTTTATGCATAGCATTCGAAGGAATAAACGCCCGTGGGTGGTACCCAAGTGCCATGTTTGGTAATATCCCCACCGTACATCGTTGGCATGACTGAGCCGTAGTCGACCAAATAAAGTTATTAAAAACCAAATAATGTTGCGTCCATCGACCATTTTGTCCATGCAAACATAAAACTGCTCGAAAAATAAGTAGTTTAGAATTCATAGTTGTTAACTGCTTGCAAAATAAATCGTCAATAATCAGCAGTCAGATTGGCAAGAAATTTAGTATTTGTTTCCAAGTACATTCCGTTTTTAATTGTCGCCCGTTGCAAACTGAATAAAGGTGTTATTTCACATTTTATTTTCAACCGTTATCGGCTAGGAGTGCATACAAAGGCAAGTTAATTTCCATAGCAAACAGAACCGAAGGGTTATCAGTCTGGGAGTTGATTCAGATGACTGATGGAGTAGATGTCTACTTCGCAGTACACTGATAACAAGGCTGACATTGCACAACATAAATCAACCGCTCAATCGCAAATCCAAAACCCAAGTCCCCATTTTTGGTAGTCCTGAAAAGCTGGTAGTTTTTTGTAATTTGCGTTAGCGCATTGCGTGACATAAATCCATACCAACGGCATTGTCTTAACTTTCAGCATATTCATTCCGCTGGATAGATTAGCTATGAAGAATTCACCACACTTTAATGTTCATTTTATCCGTTTTGTGAAATAAATCAAGGGAATCTTACGCAAAACTGTTCTGATCGCATGCTGTAAGTGCATAAAATTGATTTCACTCAATCCCACGGTAACGAACGCACATAAGTTTATTCGTCAAATGAAGATTACCTTCTTGCGATTGGCTGCCGATTAACCAACTAGATTACTTCCTTCCAAATTGGCCACAAGTTGAATGTTCAGGGCTATGAAAAACATCTCGATTCATAATGGTAATCGCTCGGTTATTGCATTAAAAATTCACGACATTGGTCGTATCACAAGAGCATATCTGTGTGCATGTATCAAGGGATCACAAATCTGGTCGTTAGTACTTGTTACAATGTGTAATGTTATTTCTTTGCTTGCAAATCCCTTGATAATTTCATTATATGCCGGACACCGGTACTTTTATCATAGTGTGATAATGATCCTTAGGAGTGAAATCCGACAGCTACCCTCATCACACAGTTGGCCACCAATTGGAAGTTCTGACGCCGGAAGGCCGACCGCTGTCATCTGCATGGCAGGTGCCTGCATGGCAGTGGAGGATGCGTCGGGCTATAGCGCATTTAGCTAATAATTCACGATAGTCAGATACCGTCCTCCATGGCGCAGTTGCATAAGCTGTGGGCTAGTTGGCAAGAGCCACTAGCAGTCATGGGTTCGATCCTCCGCAGAGGACCGAAGGATGCGCACCACTGATGAGCCCCAATAGAGCGAAACGGCCGTCTGGTGCTTTTCCGGACAGCTGGTCGACATATTTGAACTGTCGGCTGATTGCGACGAACAAAAATACTCACCGAAATCCTTCCATTCATAAGTAATTGGATACTTATTAGGTGACAAGTTCGGCAACCACTTTAACCGAGCTCCCATGACTTGACAGTCCCGAAATTGAAACCATTACCATATATATAGACCCCGTATTTTTCAGGCATGCTTGTTAGAGCACCGTCTCAGCAGGGCTGCATAAACCATATTTGTATGGTTTATTTGGCCGCATACCACAAATAATTAAAGTCATTGCGATAACAATAAAAGTAAACATATCTTTCCTTTTTGGCACAATACTTTACTATCCCACACTAAGAATATTGTTTAGCCAAAAAGGGATGAAGCAATGTGTAGAAGAAAAACCGGCACAAATGCGCATGACAAAATAACAACAGTTCAACATGGACATTAGTTTAAGTTATGCACACGTTTGAAGTGCTTTGTTCTGAGGCCTGATACTTCTTTTTAATGGTATCATTTGCTATTTCTGTCTGAAATATCTTTACAATTCATACTACGCAAATTGCTAACGAGTGTTGCACAATCATCCTAATTCTTAGAGAATTTGTTGTTTACTCCATAAGAATAAAACGGATTTCAAAATAAGATGGAACCTGAAGGTTGCCATAACTCTTGTGGTAAACTTTATTTACTTTCAAACTGTTTATGAAGGCTTTACAGGAAATCAAGTGTCATCCCTTCAATATTTGAGTGTTCAAAACATACTTGCTGCAGCAAATTCTCGTCAACAGTGGATGTTATAGCTCGTTTGTCTGGAAGCTCCAAGCATGTTTCTTGTGGTTTGACGTTCACTTAAAGTTAATGAGCGATTTCCAGGTGTAAATATCAAATTGGTTTTCTATGAACAATGAATGTTCCTAGTTATAAATTAAAAAATGTTTTTACGGGCTACTACATGTTCAAGTCACATTATCCTTTCTGCGCGAAAACTGCGTGCTTGCAAACAGCCGCAGGTTAGACAAATCAATATTTGTTTCAGTGTTACGACGAGTAGCTTTTCCTTTTCTACATGTGGCTGTAAAGTTTTAAAGCTTTGCATTACTTCACTTGGGAAAATATTATTAGCCTAAAAATTAGGAGCTGGGAGAAAACATTCCACTAGAAGTTTTGTTGATTTTGAAAATTAGTATGTTAGCCCAGCTGATAGAAAAGATCATTAAGCTATAGATTTTAGACTACCATTTTGATTAATCTCTCCGTGCTTGTAGGCACTTATCATTTCCTCTTTACACCTGTTCAGGAGTACGAAGATCGAATACAGTTGTTGCAAGAACAAGTGGAGCGCCATTCAATGGTCAGTTCTGGCACGCAAGAGGACTCAGCAATGGAATACGAAACAAACAGTAAGTAAATTTTTATGCCAAACTGAAATTCGCGGTGAAACGAATGGCATAGGAACCTATTATGAAAAATATTATGCACTTTTTATTTACTTATTATGTGCATTACGGCAATACTGACTAAAAATGGTGACGCGGTCACGCATTTATTTTATTTAGGTATAAGAACTCTTTATCTACTATCGCCTTGTCAATAAAACAGTGCAATGAACAATGAACAATGAATTTCTAGGGGTTAAGGATCGTTGCTTTACAAGTCCCGTTGGATAGTTGGTGGTGATATCAACATAACAATAATGATGATAAGGATAGTAAAATAGTTAATAATTTAAATATGTAAATGAAGCCTTACCGTTTGCTCCGCTGTAGTCCTGGCGATCCTCTTAGATTCACAGCACCCACAGTTAACAACAAATAATTCCATGGTAAACTCCAGGTGTAAGATGGAGACGTAGTGTTAAGTAAAAAAGTGTAAGTGGATGAGTGCATCGTCCAACCGTCTTTTAAATACTGTTAGTGTCGGTGCAGAGACGACTGATTCTGGGAGAGCATTCCACGGGTGACTGACATGAATGGAAAAGAAATTACTGCGGCACTCCAGACGACTGTATTGTTCTGCGAGTTTTAATGAGTGGCCCCTCAGGTTTGTATTGCTGCTGAGTCGCAGTAAAGGGCGACACACATGATGTGGGTCTCTCAGAATCAAGTATGCCATAAACAGGTCGCCCCGTAGTCTGCGATAGCTTCCACTGAACATCCCCAATCGTTGCAGCCTCTCCTGGTAGGAAAGATTGCGCATTCCAAACGCCCGTCGCAACAGCCTGACGTGTTGGTTCCCGGTCTTCGAGTCCTTTTCGGATTGCCTGGAGCAACTCAAGTCACCTTGAACCAGGACACCCAAGTCACTTTCGAGAGTTGATTGTTATAGTATGTTTGATCCGAGCAGGTACGAATAGCTGCCGTGATGTCGGATGGAAAGCACCTTGCATTTACTGATGTTGAAATGCAATAAGTTTTGACTCGACCATTGATACACCGTATCTAGGTCACTCTGAAGCACATGTTGGTCGGCGTTCGCCTGGATCCTGCGCCAGACCTTGTTATCGTCGGCAAACATTAGGAAGTTTGAAGCGATTCCATGTGCAAGGTCATTAAATAACATCAAGAACAAACGTGGACCTAGAACTGAGCCTTGCTGCACACCACACGCAACTTGTATGGGGTTCGATAAAGAGCTCCGAACTCTGAGCACTAATTGCTGTAGAAGTAGAAACTTGGCGACCCAACTTAAAAGAGGGCCCCCGATCCCGTAAAGCTATAGCTTGGATAGTAGTATCCGATGGTCTAGACGATCGAAAGCCTTGGAAAAATCTAGGTCGATCACATCAACACCTTCTCCAACGTCAGCTGCTTTGGTCCAACTACTGCGTGTAATTAGTAAGTTCATTGTACATGACCGCTGCCGACGGAAACCGTGCTGTTCAGGAATGATGATGTTGCCTTTCTCCAGATAACACGCCAATGTATCGGCAACTATGGATTCTATGACATTGGAGAGTACAGGAAGAAGGGATACTGGGCGGTAGTTGGAGGGATCAGTTCTGCATCCACATGCTTCCACTTGAAGCTAGTAATCACTTGCTGCGCATCTACTTTTTAGTCTATAAGAGACAGATTCAGAACATCAACACAAAAGCTTCGCTATCGAATTTTCTTTATTTGGCGCATAACCCAACTACGCCATTTCTAATCTAACAGACGATTGGATTAGCTTAACTCATACCTTCAGTACGCTAACGCAAATAAGCTAACTTTTCGTGGTACCTGACTTTTATGGCTGCGTTCAAGACAGCACCATTGTTCAATATATATATATATATATATATATATATATATATATATATACTGAAGGAATTCTCGTGTTTGTGATGTTCAGTTTCAAGAAATAACGATGTGGTTTTCTATCATCAAATCGTCAGAAACTATTGAATTATTATGACTGTAAGGGTGAGATTGGACAAATGCTGAAGTACAAACTAAACCACATGCACAATATCTCTGTTCTGTTCTGCTGGCAAATAATAGATCGTCACTCAAGGCGGACAACGACTGTTTAAACTGTTTGAAATGTGGTGATCGGCACTGACACAATCAGCACCTCTAGTCGATTCGAATTATTTGGTATATTCCTTGTATCAATGTCGTTCTCTACGATTGGAAAAACACCGGTCACGAGAAATTTAGCCGTAGTATTCGACTCCGTACCTTTCTGATTCATTGGTAAAAATTAGTTCTAGCATATAAAATCAAATGTTCTCAATAGATGTTTTAACAAAACCTTTGCGGTCAACGTAGCCAGGGGGAAAACATTGGAAAACATTGATATCGGGTGCCAACTATTAGCTACTTCATGCGCTCAGGCCAATTTTAGTCACACTGAGCCCTAACATCGGTACTGTAATCTGAGTCACTAATAGATGACTGCAGGTTTTTGAGACCAACTAGTCACGTATACGGGCCACCACCATAGTACTGTATGAAGAAAAGACTTGGAAGAAAAGGAGCTGTTTCCAAACTGGGTTTGAATTGGGGGTTTTCTGGAATTATCCTACAAACGCGAACATCGTGCGACCGCTTTCTTTCTTGTTTGGACTCATCAGGTAGAGATAACCTGAGCTCGGAGCTCTGAGGTTACTGTTTGAAGCCTTGATCATTAAGCCACTGAAGTCCGCAAACAATGCTTGTCATAGCGGTTTGAATGTAAGGTTTGGTTTGAACTACCTGCCGTGTGGTTGGATTGTGATATGCGATATCCACGGAGTTCCCTTAGTCCAGACTGTCTGAACCTGATGAGTCTAAACAAATCGGAACAGATCTGCGGGTGTCATCCTTCAGATCAAGCGACGCCGAAGGGCCATTTCATTGCCATTACTAGAATGCAGGACAGACTGAGGCAGCTGACAATGTACTCCAGAAAAATAGTATTAATTTTAGGCTAATATTGGTATTTGTATTGGTTTGTCCCATCGTAAAGCGTATTCCGCCATGTCGCGCACTAGTGGCGCTGAGGATTCGAAACAAGCACCGGTGTAAGTAGATAAAGTGGCTGTAGTCCTGACTACCACTGTTAAAAAGTGCATTTTACAAAAGAATTTGTTTGTTTACCCATAATGACGTGGGGTGCTGGAACCCGAATTTCCTTTGTGTCTAGCAAGCCACATGCTACAAGTGAGTGGCAATACTAACAAGATTCCATGGGAACTCATCGCATTTGTTTCGATTTTGTTGTTATTTCGAACTGATTCGTGACCCTTATTTGTTTCAGGTGAATGTCACTGGGTAGAAAGGGAGCATCAATTGGCCAGTTGGGCATTCGAAAAGTGGCGCACGCATCAGTTTACTTCTCTGCGGGTAAGCGGCCAAATATCTTCTGGGGTTTCTATAAAGTCAAATTTCGACACCAATCGTTAAACACTTACATCCGAAAATAGGACAATTATACCGTATATACATTTTCAGGTTGTTGGTTTTCTCAGGAAAAGATTATGACAAAAGCGAGTTAACTTGTTAGCCGAACAATACTTAGCTGTGAAAACAACGAATAAGAACGGTCACATGCCTCGTTTCACGATACTGTACGCAAATCTACCTGGTCCACTTTAAGGTTTAATGGGAAGTTACTTCGTGTCAATGAAGTGGCTTAGTCACCGCAACATGGATGCAATTTCTTGCTTGGAATTATTATTTGCTTAATATAATTTGTATGTAATACACTAAAAAGCTATTGTAATATTAAAATACTCCGTAAATGGATATATGTATGGTCTCCCTATTCAACTAAGTTTCCAAATACATGGAAAGACCGTACACGTAACAAGGAGGCTTATAGTGAAAATTCATTATATAGCTTTGTACTTTCATAATCGATGCATACAAATATGTTCAAAAATTTCTGATCTTATAGGAGCGATTTATTGCCATGAGTAACCTATCCGTTCGTGTAAGCTGGATGAGAGTAAAAGTCAGTAATCCAACTGCAGCAAGTACACGTTGAAAGCCCTAATGCATCCAGATTATTCGTTGGTTGCCATGAAACGATGAATGTTAAAGGGTAAATGGAATATATGCTGACCTCTTGTTTCTCCTTCTGTTCTATCGCCGCCGACTGTTCGCATTCTACGACCGCGATAAGAACACAGGAAAGGATCCAGTACAGAATGGTATATATTGCAAATCTGTTTCACACAAATTTGTTAAAGTAGTGGTAGAAGCAGAGCTACTTTACACGTTTGAGCTAACCAACAGCATACGAAACATGAAACAGCACAGGCAAATGAAAAGTGGTACAAATCAGAACCAGTCAGGTGTGTCCGATAATGCGGTATTAGCTAAAACGAGACCTTAGTATAACATGTAACATTAGCACGGTCAACGTATTGAGCCTCTTCTATTCGTTGCCTGCAGTCGCTGGCGTGTGTCAGTAACCCGTTCACCCATTTATAGATTGGTCTAGTTTAGGATAATGGATCAGTGCGTTGTACATCAAGTCGGTTAGCATATCGTTTTGCTTTCCATGTGCATGACGTGTTTTATTTTGTGATACTTCGGTTAAGAGCCAGTCACTGTGCGCTTGTTCCGAAATTGCTAAACTGTGACATAATGGCGACGAAGGTTAAACTTGTAATAAAATGCAATGCGCCATGTTTCCCCGCCTGATCCCTTTTGGAAGACACGTTATCCAAGCCATTCTTAACAGTTTGGAATCATTGGAAACGAAACTTCTGTTAATACTTTGAGCTTTCCACAATTACACCACCACACAGTAAACTTAATGAAACCCAGTCTATCCAGTTGCTGAGACATCTCGGTGAAGAAGATCAAAGGCATTTTCATTCGTTGCATTTGTACGAAAGCACATCGCTGACCGACTGCTTTAACGCCATACATGACATTGGGGGCCGCGGCAACATGTTTTATTGCGGGCCTAATTTTTCTCATTTACGACATTGAGGAGTGCTAATGAATTCATCAGTCGTATACAACGGTCCGTTTCTGACTTCCGTCACAATAAATTTCCTGCAAGGAAATTCTAAAATGCGATGGCGGTGCAATACCTTTTGTTTGGCATTCGAGACGATAAAGCTGGAGAACATCTGCTGTCAGAAGATTAAAAAGCTCACTTAGAAAACGGCCTGCCCACTTGTCAGACAAAGAGAAAGCGTTGTGCAACAATTAATTCAGTATCGAAGCGATACTCCTTAGGTTGCACTCCATGCGGTTGAATCTCGAGTATTACACAAAAACAAATGTTTCTTTACGTGCTACAGATGAGGCGAGAAGCATGAAAAGTTTACTGCTTGTCGATACCGTCTATTTGTCAAAGTGCGGAAAGGTCTTATATAGTGCACCTGTATGTCGTTCAACTGTGCTCCAACGACCGATACACCGCCCTGCCCAAGGTAAATTTCAAAGTGTGGCAAACACTAAAGCTTGTATGTTCTATCTAATTTCGCAAACAACCACATCGTATGCAATGAGAATGCCCACGTACACTGTTGATTTAACTATTGAAGGCCAGCTAGTACGTCTGGAGATCGATAACGGAACCTCGGTAATATTGATCAACAACCGAACTTTGCCCGACCTGGTTTGACTCCGACTCAATCTAAGTTACAGTCATACACTGGGGAAACACTTGATGTTTTAGGTGTGTGTGACTTGAACTTAACTCATGGGGACAATACGTTGGCTCTTTCTCTAATCGTTGTTAATGCAGGCTGCACTAATCAACTTGGGAAGAACTGGTTAAAGTACATGTCGGAAATAGTAATATCTGTCAAGAAAGTGGGCAGTATTTATGACTCATCTACACTCTTGAAAACTTTGCCAGTGTTTTCGATACCAACACACCTGGGAAGTGTCGTGATTTCAAAGCTTACTTGAATATCAAGTCACAGACTCAACCGAAACTTTACAGGACACGGAGTCCAGCTTTCGCAATTCGTCCGAAGGTAGCAGACGAGTTAGACCGATTACAAACGGACGGAATAGTTTCATCTGTAGCCACTCTTTCTGGGCTGCAACTTTCTTCCCTGTACATAAGACTGATGGCTCAATTCGCATTTTCGGTGACCATAAACTGACGGTTAATCAAGCGACGCCGACGGAACGTTCTCCGAATCTACGGGTATATAAATTTACACAACTTTGTCGGGTGAACAAAAATTCTCAAAACTTCATCTAAGCTGTGCTTATTCTCAAGTGGCCATGGATTTATCTCCGACGACGAATACAGGGCGCTAAAATCGTTTGGGACCCAGACTCCACAGATGTACGGTTTGTCTAAAGTAAATAAGGCAGAAATGCCCATGCGACCAATTATCTCCATGGTGAATTCACCTTACCATGCCACTGCCAAATAGCTGAACGACGTGCTTGAGCCTATCAGACAATCCATCTGCTTATACACCATCAGCTTCCTTTTTCTCGTCAGCTGGAGATTGTTCCACGCCCGACTCACCAGCTTTCCAAATGCCGCAGTTGCCTTTCTAACGCACATGCGCAGCTCGCTCGTCATCTGTACGTCGGCAGACGTTATACCCCAAAGTAGCAAAATAGGGAGGTGGTTTCTGAAGCGTCATCTGCAACCTGTCTTTGAGGCAAGCGTAAGTATTGCATTTCGGTGGTACGCTGAAAAAGACAAATTGTCTTACATGTGTTGATTGTGGGCCCGAACCAGGTCGCTATCAAAGCGGATCGTCGTTACTCACTGCAACTCATCAGCGCTGTGTGCAAATAACATATAGTCGTCCTCAGATAGCAATGTGCGGATGAATGTCTCACACAAGAAGGTTCTCGTCCAGAAACCACGGATATTCAGAAACACACCAACAATCGGTGCTGCACACGGCCACCGCAATAACAAGCAGCATCCAAAGCACAAGAACTTATGGCATTTAAGTACATATTAAACAGTACGGTGCCTAAGACACAGTCTTGCTTCACACAAGAGAAGACAGTAGTCATTCGAGATTTATCCACACAGCTGCACCCTCACTCGCATACCACGGTACAGATAAGCAGGTAAACCAACAACCTTACACTGAGAAATAAATCTACCAAACACCCCTCATGTCGAATGCCATCCTGAAGTCTACAAACGGCTAGTACAATGTCTCGGGATGATCTCAGCTTTCCTCAAACAACGAATGAGCTGCAAACAACAAATCTGTGGTACTGTCGCCCCGAAAGGAATCCGCATTGCTCTCCCACTACGTACGGTTAAACGACCTGATTGACGAAGCGCTTGAACAGCATTCGGTCCATTACCTTCCCAATATAACTCAGCAAGTTGATATCACGATAATTTGTCTTAATGCTTCCTGCCTTTGTTCTTCTAAAGTGGTAGCAAAAGGGAATACTTTAAGTTGGTCTGCAGTTCCTTTTCGAACTACACACGTTGCACCAAGGGACGCAAAGCATGTATTAACGGCGATCAGCTTTGTTTCCAGGGTTCTAGCGGTATTCCGTTGGTTTCGAAGCACTGGTAGTTTCGCAGCTGGGCAAGTGCCCTCTGCGTCTCATCCAATGTAAGAGGGTCAACAAGGCACATTTTCATTACTTGTTGGCGCCGCCCATTGAACATAGGCAAGTCATGATCTGAAAGACTATCCAAGTGACAGTGTATCAGACCTGCAGTCTGTCTGCAGACAGGGCTTGGATAATATCTATCAGCGTTCGCATCGGCCATAAGGTTGATCTATGCATCGCCTTCAGGGAGTCAGACGATTTTATGTTATTTGCATTCGACTTAGCATTCCATTCGCTTCTCACTTTCCGTCCACTATGAATGCTTAATGCTGTCCCCGTTGAAGTTTTCAAAACCGAATCTCCTCGGAGTCGGCAGGGTCTGCCCCATGTGCAGCGAAGGCTGTATTCTTTCCGACACAAATGCGCAAATGCTCGCACTTTCGGCATTAAACCAATCGGGCTCGCCCGATAGTTTTCGCTGCCGCAGCCGTAATCTGTTTACTGATGTGTCACCACAGGTCGCCGACTGATGCGATGAAGTCGACATCGTCAATGCGACCAGCCATCATATTCTCTAAGCGCACCCTGTTCTCAGCAGTACTTAGGGAAAGTAGGTTCAATTTGCATCAGTTCACAGCAAGAGTGGGAATATTAGATCTATGGAAATGCATTTACAATTTAGTCTGCACCAACTTTTGACTACTGTTACACTTAGCTCCATGCAGTAGGTGCACACCTAGAGCATATCACGCTGACGCGCGATGACACTCGAGCAGGTGGGCATAACCACTCTGCGGGTGCATACAAGTAGCTATATCACTCGCACACAGTGCAAACTGTGTGTTCGTGATTGATTGGCTGTGAGTGGTACACGGTTAGAG